GGCTGCAGACACGGGACTGCTTTCTGAGGGAGTGTCCTGTGGATGGACGATGGCAGCAGTGGAGTTCTTGGTCTAGCTGTACGAAAACGTGCGGCGGGGGGAGTCAGCAGAGGCAGAGGGTGTGTTATGGGCCATTCTTTGGGGGTGAGCCATGCCCAGGAGAGCGGGAGGAAGTACGTCGCTGCAATGAGAAGAGATGTCCAGGTGCGAGAGCTAGCTACGAGCCATTGACTTCAGTTCTCAATTTTCTAGGTTTTGGAGGAGTTTTTGTATAATTTTTTTTATCTTTTTTTAATGCAAAGAGCCCCATGAGATTTGTGATGAGGAGAACTTCTCTAATGTGGTGTGGAAAAGAACTCCTGCTGGAGACACAGCAGCTGTACGCTGCCCACCTAATGCTGTGGGTAAGAGACTCATTGCTTCTCCCACACAATCACACACACACATTCCTTGACAGATTTGCTCGACTCCAGACTAAAGGCTTGTGTAGTTTCAGCCTGAGAATAAACATACACCACACCGCTAAATGCCTCTTCACCATCAATACTAATGCCTCATTCAGATTCAGAACCATGGACAGCTCCACTTCAGTAAATGAGCGATACCATTCTCTCACAGCTCACAGTGGTGTCAGAGTTATAGTTGGTGGCAAAGTTATAGTAAGTTTGTTTTTTAAAGATAACTTGTAAACAATAATGAGCTGATAGGATTTCTTTGCTGTTCATGTAGAGATTAATTGAACATATAAAAGTAAAAAAAAAGTAAAAGTAAGAGAGTAAGACTGTTTTGTCCATGTCAGGAGTACTAGCATATAGCCAGGGTCATCCCAGACAGAAAGCTCCAACTGAGGCCCTATATAGTTTGTATTGCAGCTTAATTGTTAATATCAGTTTAGGATTTAACCCCCTCAACTCAGAAACTCAAGACTTGACTCACTCACACCTCTGAATCTTGAGACTTGACTCAGATTCTTACCTCAGAATCTCAGGACTTGAGACTTGACTCAGACTTGCACATCAGAAACTCAAGACTTGACTCAAACTCATGCCTTGGAAACTTGAGACTTGATTTGGACTTTCACCTCAAACTCAGACTCTCACCTCAGAATCTGGAGACATGAATCGGACCCTCACCTCAGAATCTCAAGACTTGACTGGGACTCACACCTCAGAGTCTCGGGACTTGACTCAGACTCTCATCTCAGAGTCTGGAGACATGATTCGGACCCTCACCTCAGAATCTGGAGACATGAACCGGACTGTCATCTCAGAATCCTGAGACTTTACTCAGAATCATACCTTCAAGACTTGAGACATGACTCAAGTCTTGAAGGTCTCAAGATTCTGAGGTGTGAGACATGACTCAAACTCTACCTCAGGATTTCGAGACTTGATTCTGACTTTCACCTCAGAATGTCAAGACATTACTCGGACTTTGACTTTAGTATCTCGAGACCTGAATGCATATTATTCGGTAACAATTTTGAATTATTCTGTAATTACTATGAGATAAGTATACTATGTAAATTGTTATGAAAGTGTTATGTAAGCCCACATACAAACCCTTGCAGTTTAAGGGGTTAACAGAGGATTTGACTTCATTTTGATAATCCACAGTAGATGTTTTGTAAATGTTTACTTTGTCTTTAACTGACAATCTACTAAATATATCAGTTATATTCACCTTAACTTTTCCATAATCCTAAACCTGACCTTAATCCCAACACTGTTAACAATCAACACCAGAGAGTTTGAGCATTTGCAGATAGGCTTTAGGTAGCCATCAAAATAAATTGTGACCAAGGATTTCTGAAGGTGTATGAAGAATCCTTGGTATGAACAGGCTGTAGTCATGGTAACCTCCTGTGTGTACTGATACAGGCCTCATCCTTCGTCGCTGCTCTCTGGATGATGAGGGTATCGCCTACTGGGAGAATCCCACCTACATGAAATGTATCTCCAATGACTACCGCAGCATCCAAACACTGGTGAGCACTCAGTCAGAGCCCCCTTTTACACACATGACACACACCAACTAGCCATTTCATTAAGTACACCTTCTTGTTTCTACACTATTTGTTCATTTTATCAGGTCCGCTTACCATATAGGTGCACTTTGTAGTTCTACAGTTACAGACTGTAGTCCATCTTTCCCGTTTTACCCTGTTCCTCACTAGTCAAGACCCCCAGGACCACCACAGAGCAGGTATTATTTGGGTAGTGGGTCATTCTCAGCCCTGCAGTGACGCTGATGTGGTGGTGGTGTGTTAGTGTGTGTTACACTGGTCTGAGTGGATCAGACACAGCAGTACTGCTGGAGTTTTTAAACACCTCAGTGTTGCTGCTGGACTGAGAATAGTCCACCAACCAAAAAGATCCAGCCAACAGCGTCCTGTGGGCAACGTCCTGTGACCACTGATGAAGGACTAGAGCAACATATGAGCTGTTGTCTCTGACTTTACATCTACAAGGTGGCCCAATAAGGCAGGAGCTTCTAAAAAAAGTGGACAGTGAGTGGACACAATGTTTAAAAACTCCACCAGCACGAAACACACTAAAACACCACCACCCGTCAGTGTCACTGCAGTGCTGAGACTGAACCACTACCCAAATAATACCTGCTCTGTGGTGGTCCTGTGGGGGTCCTGAACATTGAAGAACAGGGTAAAAGGGGGCTAACAAAGTATGCAGAGAAACAGATGGACTACAGTCTGTAATTGTAGAACAATCAAGTGCACCTGTATATTAAATGTAGTTGACAAAATGTGTATATACAGGGAGGTGTACGTAATGAAGTGCCCAGTCTGTGTATGTGACTTCTGGGGCTGCTGTACTACTCTGAAAACTGAAGCATTTCTTGGAGAAACAGCTGGTTGACTGTTGTTTTCTCAGACCCGTGACCACCTGTCGAAGGCACAGAGAGGACTTGTGGGAGATGGAGTTTCTGAGGTAATGACCAAGCTGAGGGTGACCTCCAGTGATGGCACCAGCTACAGTGGAGACCTGCTGGCTATAGTGGACGTTTTGAAGAACATGACAGAAATCTTCAGGAGGTCCTACTACAGCCCCAGCAGTGCTGACATGAGGGTTAGTGCAGTGCAATGTTTAAGTCGAGAGTTACTGCCGTTGTGCTAAACAACTAGTTAACATGATAAATTATTGATTGCGTTCAGATATTAACACCATTAATGCATTTTCCTTGTTGGATCTTGTGAACTATTTGTAGTAGTGCAGGCTGAAGCCCAGCCGCTCACACTCTGTAGCCTTCTCATTGAAGCTTGGCGTTATATGGCTTTACTTGTAGTCCTTTGGCAGACTGTGCTGGCCAGTACTCATGGGAAATCTATTGATGAATCAAGGAACAGCCAACTAATAAAAGCAATAGCAAAAGGAAAAGCCCCTTGAGAGCCTTTACTGTAACAAGAAATCACAAGCTGTATGAATGAGAATGAGAGCGAGAGGGCTACAAATCTAAGGATTTGGAACAATTAACTGCATATATGATATACACAAAAGTATGTAAACACCTGAACATCACACCTATATGAGCTTGTTGGACATCCTATTTCAAAATCTTAAGCTAATTAATATGGAGTTGCCTTCAGTCTTCTGAGGAAGCTTTCCACAAGATTTTGGAGTGTGTCTATGGGACACAACTCATCAAACCATGTCTTAATGGACCACACTTTGTGCACAGGGGCACAGTCATGCTGGAACAGGAAGGCGCCTTCCCCAAATTTTGCCACAAAGTTGGATGTATATAATTGTCTAAAATATCTTTAAATGCTGCAGTATTAACATCACCCTTCACTAGACCTAAGGAGCCAAGCCCAAACTCTGAAAAACAGCCCCAGACTCATTGTCCCTCCTCCACTCCTGCCTGGCGTTGTGCATAGTGATCTTAGGCTTGAGTGAGGCTACTTAGCCATTGAAATCCATTTCCTGAAGCTCCTGACACACAGTTCTTGTGCTGATGTTGCTTCCAGAGGCAGTTGGATGGGGAAATTTTATGTGCTACACATTTTAGCACTCGGTGGCGTTGCTCTGAGTTTGCAGTCTACTGTTTCGTGGTTGAGCAGTTGTTGCTTCTATATGCTTCCATTTCACAATAATTGCACTTACAGTTGACTGGGGCAGACCTAGCAGGGCAGAAATTTTATGAACTGACTTGACTTGTGGCAAATGTGATATCCTTTCACTTTCAAAGTCACTGGGCTCTTCAATACAACCCATTCTACTGCCCATGTCTATGGAGATTGCATGGCTTGATTTTACATACCTGTAAGCAATGGGTGTGGCTGAAACACCTGAACTCAATATTTAGGAGGGGTGTCCCCATACTATTTGCCATATAGAACATTGGAACATGCATCCACTGTTGCTCTCACTGAACGTCAGGAATGAAAACCAAGACTGTGTCCAGCTTGAGGAAATTACGTGATTTTCATGTTCAAATTTATGTGAACTCGCATTCACACAATGAAAATAATGTTACTGAAAGTAATAAATACATTCTGATTAAGCTTATTTTGTCTACAATTTTAGCTATAACAAAAATGCACTGCTTTTTAATTCTTTTCTTAGGATCAAAATTGAGCAAATAAGACAAATGGAATTATGGAATTAATAAATTTAGCCTAGTAATTACATATTTACATGTTTAATATCAAAGTTAATATGAATTACATTTATGTTTGATTTACGTTCTGCAGCCACAGGTCTTTTGCATTTGTTTCAATGTCAAGAAATTGCAAAAATGTGGCAAAAATGTAAAGGATGTTTTTTACGCATAAGCATATCTTTTCATCAAATTCAAATCATAATGAAATATCTGTTCTAATCATGAATATTGAAGGAGATCTGATTTAAAGTTTAGAGTGCACACTTAAACAGAATTTCTCTGCTTGTTTTAATGAGTTACGAGTGAGACATAGGTCATACTTTTGTTATCACCGATAATAACTGCAGCTTCTCAGAAGGAAAGAGGAAGACATAATGATCTGTTATATTCTGTTATGTGCTGTATTAAATCTTATTGCCTCCATATTTGCTCTGCAGAACTTTGTTCAGTCTGTTAGTAACCTGCTGATGGAGGAGAACAGGGAGCGATGGGAAGAAGCGCAACTGGTGGGTTCTGTCTCCTACACTTCTGTACCTACTCACTACACAAGAACAAAAACCAACATGAATCATCGCTTTGCGTGTTTTTCCGTGTATTTAAAGAGGAACAGTCTCCTAGTTATCTTTGTTATGCAGCTATTCTCTCATGGATTTCAACCATGTGAGAGAAAGGCATTTATGAAACACTTTATTTAGAGAGGATGTGACTAATGCATTATTACATTTAGTTTCTGTAGGTGTTCTTATGCGTTATTAAACTTCTGTTCAGAAGCACACTCTAACAAAATGTCAGAGAGAGAGAAAGAGGAGCTGGTATGAGTCAGTAGGCTGGGAGTAAGGGAGCGGGGTGTGTGTTTTAGGAGCATTATGGGGGATTGCGTTGACATTCAGTAGCGAGAAAGAGAGAGAGAGACTCTTGCTCAATTTCCAAACCTTTCTCTGCCACCAGCTGTTCAAGCGCCCATATAATGCAAAATTCAATTCTCCTCTGACATCACAAAAACCTGGCCATTTACATATAGGCACCTATTCAGCTTACAGTAGCTTGGCTCCTCCCAATCACATTAAAGTTATTAGTGTTTCAGCCTGCACTGCCTTTTAAATGAGGAACAGCAGTCAGAACAGAGGTCATATACATACAGCACTGTGCAACAGTTTTAGCCTCCTGAAACATGAAATTTACAGTTGTGTGCAAAAGTTTTGGTGCCCCTGGTCAAATGACTGTTTATTTGCTGAATTTAACATATAGGAAAAAATAAAATATAATTTGTCCTGTGAAAAAAGTTCTGGCACATTTTATTCTTCATATTTTATTTTTTCCAATATGTTAAACTCAGTGTGTAAATATAAATGGTGCACTTAATTTTGCTAGGAAAATGCCATATTTTAATATGTTTCACTGTAAAGGATGTGTTGACTTGCGTTCGTTTAGAAAATCCACAAAACCTCATTTGATGGGGGTGTTCAAACTTTTGTATATGCCTGTGTATTTGAAAAAAAGTTCTTGGTTATGGTCCAGATTAGTGGTTTTAAACAATTTGCTTAGGTGCCTAAAACTGTTGCACAGTGCTGTATATCAGTATTAAGGGTGTAATAACAGCTAAAGGACAAAACAGAGGTTAGAAAATGGCCATGAAAAAATGTATGACTGGTTTTTGTGCATAAAATATTAGAAATTAACTTCAGGGAAAAAATACAATACAGGAAAAATGTTAGATATGGGCCCTTTAAGCATCCAGCCTGCATCACCATGACAATCTACACAGATCCCACATACACTCAGAATACCCACAGACAGGGATATTAATAACAGACTTGATGCAAAACTTGCGTAACATTTCAAGTTCATGTAAGTTTTACTGCGACAGACTGAATGGCAGGTGTAGGTATGTAATCCAGTGAAGGTGGGATACTACAGTGGTCTGCATGATATTTTTATAGTGGATGTGATCCTGAACTCTTCCTCGTCTAGTGGGCTAAAAGCTCCCTATCATTAAATGATATGGTCTTTAATAGCCTATAAACTTCCTATAAAATTAATAGCCTATAAAATTATTGTTATCTGATATTGCATTATGGATGTTTGTAATGGTCTTTAAAGAGCAATTCCATTTTTTTTTATTTCTGCTTAATTTAATCATCAAAATGTGAACAGAGTCATTCAGAGTGGTTTGATGTGAAATGCTCCATTCTAGAGAAACTGACTGAGACAGAATGGTACACAGTGGTGGTGATAGGAACCAGATGTCCAAAGAGGTTTGAAAGCTGAATGAAATGGTTATGAAAAGTTTGCATGATGCTGAGGGATTGTTTTACAATAGTTGTGAGATAAAAGATTGAATATTTTAGCCTTAAACTTTTTGGTCTGTTTATGTAGGAGAAATACAAGCCAGGTGTTGCAAGACAAAATAGACTTTTTTTTTCAGATTTACCATTTTTTTTATTATTAATGTTACATATAAAACTCACAGAACAAGTGCATGTTCACTTGTGGTTTTGTATAGTAAATAAAATGGCTCATCTCCACTGTGAAGTCATCAGAGTGTGTAAGTTTCTCTACATTGAACCATTTCACATAAAAAAAAACACTCTGAATGACTTTGTTTATACCTCAAATACTGAATTATGCGTTTTTGAAATCTCAGTGGAATTCCCCTTTAAACAGCTGTTCTGTTATTTCCATCTTATGGTAAGACCTGAAAATGAAAATAACATTTAGTATTCTACAGGGGCATCACTAGAGGTTTATGGATATGTGGACTAAGCCTGTACAAGGGGGTTTTAGGGGTATGGTCCCCCAGGAGAATTTTTATGACCCCAAAATGTCTGTTCATCATGGACTTTTAGAGTAGCAGCTGCCAAAAAACAGCTATTTGGTCAAACTGGCTCACAGTAGATCTTTCTCTTTGTAGTTTGCTTAAAACTAGTATGATTTGAACAATATATCCAACTTAAAACAGGCACAGATCAAGCAAAAGTGCTGAAGTCAGTGTTATCTCCTCTCTGTTAGATTAGCTGCAAATTATATTACTCAAATACACAGATTAATAAGATATAGGCATGTTTAATCAGCTATAGGCATGTTTAATCAGCTATAGGCATGTTTAATCAGCTATAAGCTATAGGTATTAATAAGCTATAGACATGTTTAATAAGCTATAGACATGTTTAATAAGCTATAAGCATGTTTAATCAGCTATAAGCTGTAGGTATTAATGAGCTATAGACATGTTTAATAAGCTATAGGCATGTTTAATCAGCTATAAGCTGTAGGTATTAATGAGCTATGGACATGTTTAATAAGCTATAGGCATGTTTAATCAGCTATAAGCTACAGGTATTAATAAGCTATAGACATGTTTAATAAGCTATAGACATGTTTAATCAGCTATAAGCTATAGGTATTAATAAGCTATAGACATGTTTAATAAGCTATAGACATGTTTAATAAGCTATAGGCATGTTTAATCAGCTATAAGCTGTAGGTATTAATGAGCTATAGACATGTTTAATAAGCTATAGGCATGTTTAATCAGCTATAAGCTGTAGGTACTAATGAGCTATAGACATGTTTAATAAGCTATAGGCATGTTTAATCAGCTATAAGCTCTAGGTATTAATGAGCTATAGACATGTTTAATAAGCTATAGGCATATTTAATAGGCTGTATGCATGTTTAATCAGCTATAGGCATATTTAATAGGCTGTAGGCATGTTTAATAAACTAGTCGACAGGATTTCATGAGCATAACAACAAATATTTTCTCAGTTAAGTTCAGTTAAATTCAGCATTAATTTTAACTGAAAGCTTAAACAGCTCTCACTTTCTTCTTGACTACTAACCTCCATCAGATCTGCTCCTTCAGTCCTGTCAGTCTCCTTCAGCTTCTTTCTCTCCCTCTTTTCCTGTGTTCAGTAATACATTATTTTTTATTAAACTCAAGGAAATAAAGAGAGAGCAGCCTTTTTTTAACTGGTAAAAATCCTCTCATGTGGCCGGCCTTTGATGGAGCTGCCACTTCCAAATTAACAGCTACAAGTTGAAGAATTGAAGGATATACCATTGTTTTTTGATCAACACCATATGACATTTTCACTAACATTAACATACTGTGAACAACAATATATGGCAAATACTTGTGTCCTTGTTTCCAAATACTGCAGAGAAATGTAAGAACAAAGAATATAAAAAGCTATCAATATTGTTGTTAATGTCTCTGCCACTCTTCACACTCTCACTATGAAGATAAGTTTCATCAGATTTCCTGAACTACTTGGCTAGTCAGCTAGCTAGCTAGCCCAAACTCTCTTGTTTGCCATCAAGTAAAAACCCAACATCTATACTGACCATAATTTGCTACTAATTCATATTATGGGAGGGCATCTTCACTCTGTAACTACTTACTGTTTCACTCTGTATATTGTAGACTTGATAAGTTTTCATGTTTGTTTTGGTGAGCTTTTAGACAAAATCCTGACACAACTTCAGGGCTATATAGCATTTAGGGGGGGGCTAAAGCCCCACTAAAATGGGCCTAGCAATGCATTTGGTATTCTAATTCACTTGGGTCTATTTTACTCCTGATGTGTTTTTGTACATCATCACTTTCTGTGTTCCTCTTTGCCTGGTGGAGGAGCACATGCAACTGAAGGTACTGTGTCCAGAGTAGATAAATTACACCTTATTGCTGAAGAGTTTCTGTGAACACATGAAAACACATTTGTGGTAACTCCAGAATGTAATGATGCTGAGCTGTTTGTGGCTATAGAAGACCATTTAAACCCAAATCTGAAGGCAACTGAAAGATCAGTTTTTTGAGGAAAAGCTTAGGACTGTTCCTTTAACAGACACTGAATGGAGAAGGTTGTGTTGCTTAAAAAAGATGGAATTTCCCTTTAATAAGTACTTTCCAGGTGTTGTTAGAGAAAATCAATGTACATAATTTTTATTATTATTATTATTATTACACCCCCCCATGATAATTCTACATTATTAATATTTATAAACAATTTTCTAGCCGACTTGCCAATAAAGTGCAAGGTAAAACTTCCCCACTGTGACTGTCCTGATGGCACGCCACACTATCAACTTGGTTAAGCCTACTTTAACTAACTAGGTTGACTTAGCTGCTCTTCTAGCTAATGCCAAGCTTCAGCTTTTAAATGTTAACTGAATATTTATTTGTTTTTATGCATGAGTGTAATTTAAAAGAAAATGAATAAAATGATTTATGACTTAAACATTTTAACTTCGATTAAAATTTCAGTTTACATCATTTGCACACAACTATACATTGTGTGAAAATTTCATGGTGAATGGACCAATAGAAATGCTTCAAAACTGCTTGTAATAAAACCTCTTTACAGAAACTTGCATTAAAAGTTAAGAACGTTTTTGACCTCTCCTGTAAAGTTACCACTTTGAAGATGCTTGTTTTTCTTTGCACAGTGACAATATGTAACGACATTATAATGCCTGCATACTTGAGAAGCGCTGCCACAGTGTATTATCTTTGAAGCACTGCTATTCTGAATCCTTTACTATGCTCAAATCCTAGACTCTTACAGCCTGACCTGTGTGTCTTTCAGTTGGGGCCTAATGTTAAGGAGCTCTTTCGTCTGGTGGAGGACTTTGTGGATGTAATCAGCCTCCGAATGAAGGACTTTCAGGACACTTACGAGGTCACGGACAACCTTGGTCAGTTTCTTGTCATATTCTGTTTCAGCTGAACCTGTTTCTCTCTGTAATATCATACTCCACTGTGGCCATTTAAAGGTGCATGCATAGATAATCAATTTCAATCCTTTCCACTTCCGAAACAATATTCTCAGCAGATGGAAACTTCAGCCAACTGTTTTAGAAAATAAAGGTTCCTGTATCGTTCTAGGCTTGGCTGTAAGATGGTACAAAAATTAACTTAAAAAAATTTATTTGTATAGAACCTTTGCATTATGTGAGGGTTATTATTTGTCTCTATTCTAATGATATATGGTGATTTTACAAGCACAAACACACTTATTGCTCAGATAATGGTTTCAAATTATGTGCTTAGACTACTGGGTGGTATTGTAATTACTGAATAATAATCTTTAGGATGTAATAAAAGTCATTTCAGCATCAGATTTTGAACATTTGTCAAAAATGTGTCTTTCTGTCAGAAAAACTAAATTACGATTGTTGTATGCTTTCGTGTAACCCTGCTATGGAGGTATAGCTAAAAGGAAAATATTCTAAGGAAGGATAAAATAACACCTTTATAGGACTTTATTGATCCCAAAGTAAAAAAAAACAAGTAAAGGAAAAAAAAAAACAAGCAAAGTATAAAAAAGCAATTTTATGAAAAATATATTTTTCATATAGTTACTGCCTTCACATAAAAACAGGACATGTTCGGGCCCTCTTAGTCTTTAAAAATGGAAAGAAATATGATAAGATTTTAGAAAGAAATGTGGTTACAATCTGATAAATATGCCTCTCCAGTATTTGGTATAAAACTATGTTTCGAAATTTTGGCAAAATGTATTGCTTTCCTAGTTTTAGGAACGTTTAGCTGTTGTTCCTTTGGTTAAGCTGCATTTACAAGTGTTTTTAAAGTTTTATAAGGGAGAAAATATTATATATTGACTAAAAGAATGTATGTCTGATTTTATGTGTGCATTTTATTCATTGAAATGTTAAAGGGACAGAGAATGTTCTCAAATGACCCAAATAGTTCTGTGAAAGAACTATTCAAGAAAGATTCTTTAGGGAAACAAAAGTGGTTCTTCCTTGGTATCGCTCCAAAGAATCCTATTTGGCACCTTTATTTTTAAGAGTGCAGTAAATCCCCGACAGCCCCTGAACCATGAATGAAACGTTCCCCTGAGAAGTTTTATAGGCTGTTCTCCCGGGAGGAGCAGGTGTACGCAGATTCTGTAGCTCGGGGCATTCGAGCGGCCTCAGAATCCCACTGTGATCCACCCACATCTCCCCAGCACACGGCCCAAGTGGGAGACGTGCTTTACTCATGCACACAAACTGGCAGAGACAGGCAGGAGATGAGCTGTTTTTGCAGTGGGCCGCTCAGGGGGGCCGTCACAGTGGGAGAGGAGAGTGTGAGGGAGTGGGGGCCATGAGCTGTTCTTTACCATGGCCTTGCAGAAACTCATACGCTTTGTTTACCGCTGCCTGGCAGAACCACATCTCCACCCACAGAACTGTCACCTGTCTCTAAGCTAATGACCTCTCAGTCCCACACATCACAAGCATGTGGAATCTCATGCACGCCGACATGAACAGCAAATAAACAGACTGTTACTTCATCACAAATAAAAGTTGTTGAACCGAGTAACCTTAAGAATATTCCCTGTGGACTGCACAGTCCTGGGTGATGCATCATCTGTACTGCTGCATCAGTATTAGTGTTATACAGCAAGGCAGATTTTTACTTTTTTTTACTGGAAGATAACATACTTGTACCGTACTGTGCAAAAGTCAGAAACCACCCTTCATTTATTCGGTCAAAACAGCTATTAAGTGCAAGTTATTCATTTTTCAGAAGACTGGACCCAATCCACTTGCATAAGGGAAAAGAAAAGTCAAAGAAAAAAAAGTTTTCAAAAATGGATATAAAAATAAAAATAACTGAAAGGTACAGATAACAGGACCCATAACAACCATGCAAGACCTGGTAGCCCACCAAAACTGTCACCATCAGATAAGCAGTACTTAAGGCCTTCATCTGTAAGAGGAAATCAGGCCCAACATTTTGCAAAAAAAAGGTGTTCCACAGGTGTTTCTGTCCATCCTTCCACTGCGAGAAGACACCTCAACACTATGGGTCTGATAGGTAGCTGTCAAGAAGTTCAGAACAATGGACTGACCACAGTCCAGACCTCAACATCACTGAATGTGTTAATGATTATTTGGGTTATGAGAAGCAGAAAATGAAACCAACTTCTAAGACTGAAGGTGTAGAAAAAAATCCCAGCAGATTTCTTTAAAAAACTTAAAGCAAGTCTCTTGAAAAGAATAGAAGCTGCAGCAGAGGAAAAGAGTGGACTCACTACATACTGAAAATATTATATTATAGTTAACTGTTGAGGTTGTTGTACAATTTTCAGTGAAATGTTTGTTTTCTGCTTTTTTCCTGATGCTGAAAAATGAATAACTTCCACATAATGGCCATTTACTGACTTGCACAGTATTGTGTATCATCTGCTGGCTGCTTCAGATTGTTTAGAAAGAACAGTTCAGAACACATGAGCACTAAATAAATAGTAAGATTTCTTCCTGGAAATGTACTTTCTGGGTAATGTTTACAGTGAAGGCTTCCATTGTTGGAATTTTTAAGGAATGGTTTAAAATTAATCGTTTAATTTACACAGTTTTCCCCCTCACTCCAAATGTAGCCACTGTTTTATGTGCTGTAAAACATTTTTGGCATTTTAAATTAAGTCAATTTGCTGCAATAAAATTTTGGGTTAATTGAACTTTGTAATAGAAATAGATCAAAACTCTGTGGTCTGTTCTGTTTAGTTATTTTATTGCACCAAGTTGCATTCTTAGATAATCTATACATTTTTTTATAGTGTGCCTGAAGCTTGTTTATTTATTTTTGCATGTGTAATATTAATGTCACTCAAATTTTGTCCATTAGTCACATTAGTTTTAAGCTGCTTTAGCCTCATAGGTCCAGTGCAATAATGAGGAGCAAGGAAATTTGAGGTAAGGGGGAAAACTGTGTAAATTATATTTTTCAGTGGACCATTACTTTGAGAAGAAAACAGAATGAAAGAGACCAATCAAAACAAGCTATATCAGGTTTGTAACTTGTTCTTTTAGCATAGAGTAGCATTCTGCAGGTAGAGAGGCTGACTTTATTAATGCTAAATTACATATCGTGTGCTATCATGATATGGTGATACATTTGAAAAATATTGTGATATTAAATTTGATCAATATTGCCCAGCAGTAGAACTGCACGGGACATGATCTGGATCAGTGTTTCCTGCAGATTTGTCTGTGTAGTCTCTGTTTTAACAGCTGTGCCCATGTGTGCCCTCAGTGTTGAGTATTCACAAGCGGCCCGTGGCAGGGCACTGCTGACATCAGCTTCCCCATGAAGGGCTGGAGGGGCATGGTGGACTGGGCCCGCAACTCAGAGGACAGAGTCACCATCTCCAAGAACATTGTCTCCTCTGGCAACCCAGGTTAGTACCTTCCACACTGCTCAGACACACACAAGCCGTCGTAAAAGATTTAGGCAAAATTGTATTCAACCCACCAGATCCAAAGTTTTACTACACACTTCTAAATTTTAATTAACATTTTGCTATAACCTGAACACGCATATATATATATATATATATATATATATATATATATATATATATATATATATCCCTGGCAAATTTTCAGTTTCATGCTTTTCAAACTTTTTATTGTCACCCTGATTTTCCTAATGGCCTTTTCAACCTACCACTAACTTTTTTTATTACCATTTCCTAATCTCTGCAGATCCACACCCTTCTGTCTCATTAGAGTTGTCAGCTCTTTGGTTTTTTTCATGTTGATGGATGCCAAAGGAGATATATTTATATGTCTGTATTTCTATAATATGTTTATATATGTATATATTCATAATTATACCCCAAGGAAACGGGAAATGAACAGGAGTTCCTAGGGCTAGGAGCAATAAAAAGAAAGATTTTTTCCCCCAAAGATGAAAATATCTTTGGTTTTATTTAAAATATTCTTCAAGAGTGCCCATTAAGGATAGACTATTCTTAAAAAAAGGTGCTCTTGTAGGAGTGATTTCTGTTAAATAAATGGTAAACATTATTTTGTTTTGGTTTTGTTTCTTTTTTTTGGCAAAATCAGATAACTCCAATGGTCATTTCATGTTTCAAAGTTAAACGAAGTCTTTAGCATAAAACAAGCAGGTAAAGTGCTGAAAATTGCAAAAAAAAATATATCAAACATCTACAAGATCAAACCTCATAAAATCCTGGCAGAATCTCAAATGGCTCGCTGCTCCCCATATAGTGCATTGTTAGATATGAAATACTGGCTTTTGCACCCAAATATTGCCCTTTATGTCCAGTATGAATTGTGCACACACGGCTGAATCCAATGTGGTTGTTTTTTAGACATACTGTGCTCTGGTCAGATGTAGAAGGCATCATTTTAAGACCTACGTAGTGCCCTTTGTAGGCAGAAGGGAGACATTTGAGATTCTGCCTGAAACAGTTTGTGGTAGTGCTCCATCACCTGACCCGAATGCTGACTCACTGAACAGATTTATTGGGTTCTGCTCGAGAACAGCGCTGGTGTTTGACCGTTTCTGCTTTAAAGTGTGAACTTGCAACCCCTTAACAATGGACAAAAAAGGCTTTTTGTGACAAAATGTATTTAGGGTTCAGAATGAGCTGTATGTTAATAATAACTCACGACCGTCAGTTTATTTCTTTAAAGGATAGCGTTTATCGTTTTTTGCAAACAAACCCTTCAAGTCAAGATATCATGAGGTTAACAACATTTACATAATAAAGCACGCTCTTTTATTTTTATTTTATTTGTCCATGATATGTGCCCTTTAAAGTTTAGCACATCTGTCCAAGCACTCACTAAACTCTGCCAACACTGTAGTCCTTTACATAAGCGTTTGAAAAAACTTTGTCCTTTGTTTGGGTGAGAAGAGCAGTGGGCTGAGATTTGATAGCTGTAGTCTCTGTCTAATGTTTGTGAGGCTCAACGTTACAGACCATTAGAGAAGTTCCCTCCCCTGCGACTATGCTAATAGGGCAGTTGCTGCTTAATCAGGAGTCAACAGGAGCCAATCAAGAGCAATTAGGCCTAAATTCCACTCCCATTGGGAGCTCTGTTTCCATGTCGCTCGGAGCAGATTGACAGCGAGGGCATGCTGAGAGTGGTGCTTATATTAGACATACTTTAGGAGCTTTCAGACCTCCAGTGGTTACAGAACAAATAATCATTTCACAGACTAGTTTGAAAGTGATGGTTACTTTCTTGCATGTCAAAAGTTTGAACCACTCATGAAGGGCTTTATTTGTGCTGTTTCTCTCATTTTAGAATAGCAGTGAAGACATAAAACTATGATATATAAGGAATGCAGAATGTTTAGGTGCACTGGGGTAAAGCTTATTAATTGTACTGTATTTGTAACCCTACCAACATATATGTTGCATTTCTCTGCAGTAGTAATCTGTGTGGATCGTGTCTCATTGTCTACATTTTATAAATGTTTATGTATCGCATTTCTATCTGTATCACAGATATGTTCATGAAAAATATCAGATATCAGTATCAGCACAAAATTCCAATATCGGTGCATCCCTAGAAATCATCCTATTTTCTAGCCACATTTGTCTTGATGACAGCTTTGCACACTCTCCAACAGCTTCATGAGGAGTCACTTGAGTTTTGAAGAAGTTCTACATGTGCAGAAAACTATGTTAGGAGCGAAATTTAATTGAAAATGTTTTTATTTTTCAGATAATTCATAAATAGCTATTAGCTTCACTATTTATAGGGATGGTTAGCATTCAGTCTCTTTCAATGCTGCTATCAATCCTGATACTTTGACATCAATACCAATTCCTGATCCATATGTTTTTTGCCTCAAGTTCAGAATTTAAGAAGCGCTTCATAGATAATAACAAGAATATGGAATGAAAGACAGCCAAGTCTAGACTTTGGAAAGAGTGTTCATTGGTTTACTGATGCTGATAAGAACATCTACTGAGGTACTGAAATTTAGAGTGACAGACTTAGTAGTATTACTAATATTTTAGTAGTGTTGCTGTAATTTTCTACTGTAAAAGTGTTTAATTTTGATTTGCTGTAGAAGCCTTTAGATTAAAATGTCAAAAAATACATTCAAGCAGGTTTTACTGGTACTGACTACACAAACCATCCATACACACAGACTGCAACTACTCCACCTCTAGCAGAACACACTGTGTATTTGTTCAGTGCTGCTTGGCCCCTCAGCGCTCTTCTGTTGACCTCATAGCGGCCGTGGCTGTTCTGTATTGGCAGATCAGTGCAGTGAGTGGAGACAGGCAGAAATAAAACTGTCCCCAGAGAGCAGAGCAGACTCGCTCAGCCTCTCCATGCCCACAGAGACCCAGCTGCAGCCCTACAGCTATACTCTCTCTCTCTCTCTCTCTCTCACTCTCTCATTCTCTATCTTTCTCTCCTCTCTGTGTATTTCTCTTTGTCTATCTTGCTTCCTTTTCTCTCCGTAGCTCTCTCTCTTTCCCCATTCCCTCACACTTAGTCTCCACATACTCATTCTCTACCTCTGTCTTTCTTTCTTTGTCTGTGTCTTTCCTCTCTATCTGCATCTCTCTGTATCTTTCTCTGTACCTCTTTCTCTATATATCTCTCTCTGTATCACTCTCTCTTTCTTTCTGTCACTGTTTCTCTCTATCTGTATCTCTCTTTCTCTCTGTATCGCTCGGTCTCTATTACTCTCTATCTCTCTCTTTCTGTATCTCTCTCTCTGCCTCTCTCTCTCTCTCTCTCTCTCTCTCTCTCTCTCTCTCTCTCTCTCTGTCAGTCAGGCAGGCTGGAATCCACATGTCTGGAGCTGAATCATTGTAGCTGTATGAGCAGATGGGCCTATTTTGGTTCTGTCTGCATATGTATATGTGTGTGTGTGTGTGTGCATGCATGCAAGTGTGTGTGTGTGTGTGTGTGTGTGTGTGCGTGCGTGTGTGCGTGGTTTCCTTCTTCTCCAGTTGTGAGTTGCTGAAAGGATGAAATTTGGTCTCGTCATTTCAGACCAAACATGCCAATATGTGCAGCTATTGAGTGTGAGTGTGTGTGTGTGTGTGTGTGAGTAAGTGTGTGTGTGTGTGTGTGTGTGTGTGTGTGTTTATAGATGGTTAGTCAAGTAGGCCAGCTGTAGGGTGAGGAGCTGAAGGGAAAGAGAGAATGACTGGGTGACCTGCTTTTTTCTCCTCACCTACAGCCACTCTGAATGAGAGTAAATGCAGGATTAACCCTCACATGTCCAGAGTTATTACTGTCACTCTGCTGTACTATTCAAATGTAATTACATATTCAATTACACAGTGAGTTTCACAGAGAATTACATTTACATTCTGTCTTGATCAAGATTTACGTTTGAACTCTGTATGTTCAACATTTTTTTGTTTGTTTTAATGTTAAGAAAATGACAAAAGCATAATAATAATAATAATAATAATAATAATAATAATAATAGATCTACACTCCCAATAACAAACACAAATACTATACATATTGAAAATTTAAAATATGCACAGAATTTCTCTGCTTGTTTAACCCTTTAAGGTCACTTAGTCTGCCTTTCTCCATTAATCACATGTCTCAGTGCTGTTTTTGGGTTTATTTTGATATGTACAATGTAATGTTACAAAGCTGAAAATCTATAGATGTTTATTTAAACTACCTATTTGAACAAGAAAATACACAAATAGTAATATACGTCTACACCTCTCGATAGAGTCAATAGACGGCAGTATAATTTTTCAGGTGCTCTGTTTTTTTTTATTAATTAATATTATTTTGTGTTATGTATATATGTACCACCATACCTGCCATCAGTTACCCTTCAGGCATAATTAAACTTCTATCGAACTGAAATGAATTAAGTGACTTATAAGGTGTGCCTTATTGTTACTCTGATTAAACAAATCAATAATACGCCCATGCTGATCTGAATAATGATCTAAATGAAGGACGAAAATCACAGTGTATCCAACAATAAAGGAAGCATCTTTTACACAGTAATAGTCATGTTAGAACTCAAAAAGCTCCAATTCTACATGCTGACACTGTGATCAACATGGACACGTATGTGCTGTAGCTCCTCTGGCAGTAGATTTAAATGAGTTAAAGGGGGTTTTAGCAAATTCTCAGAACGGATCATCAGCGAGACGCTCAGTTCCATACAGTTAAAATGGTCATGACTGAGGATTAATTCATATTGATTTACATCATGCTTTTGTTATTGCTGGTGATAATTGCAACCTCTAAGGGTTAACAACTCCTCCACCCAACCCACACACACACACACACACCAATTTTTACACCTCTTTCAGTCATTGTGTTTCCTTCTCTTCCTCATTCTGTTTCTTCATGTGTGTATATATCTGCCTGTGTGTGTTGCAGATGAAGATGATGCTTCAGCATTTGTGACCGGCATCGTCCTGTACCGAAATTTGGGAAGTATCTTGTCTCTTCAAAGGTGAGGATGAGTTACATCTGCCTTTTTCTCTCTCTATTCAGACTCTTAGGCTTGTTCACACCCAGCATTAACATTTATCTTGGTATCAGAAGCAGGCAACACTAAATACAGGTGTAGACGGGTCCCAGCGTGTCTCAGAGACACACCATGATCTGATCACACAAACCACTTTAAGGGGTGGTATAACCACAGAACACCTGTAGTATGAATGCCAGCATGTCCTGATTTGACCTCGACAGCAGTATAAGACCATCTAATAAGTTGTGTCATCATAGCAGAGATAAAGCAGCTGCATAGCTTGATTCTTCATCTCCTCTCCTGTTTGTTTATGGATTGCTAACAAAACGTATAAAGTCTAAACGTATTCAGCAGCCCTTACATGTACACAAACAAGGACTCAGGGACATTTTGGTCTGACAACAAATGCAGTGAAAGAACATATGTGCAGCATTATGAAATCTGATCATACTGTGCAAAAGTCAGAGACCCTTCTTTTATTTACAGTCAAAACATCCATTAAGTAAAAGTTAGTCATATTTCTGATAAGATTAGATGTAAGATAATTCACTTGTGTAAGGAAGGATAATGTCAAAGGAAAATAAAAGAAAATCTGTCCATCCTTCCACTGTGAGAAGACAACACTATGGTTCTGAAAGGATGTGTAGCTGTCAAGAAGCCCTTACTGAGAAAAGAATAAAACAAAGGGATGAAAAAAGGATGAAAATTTGCCCACCAACAATGCTGGTGGTGTTCAGAACAATAGACTGACCACCCCAGAGTCCAGACTTCAGCATCACTGAATGTGTTTACGATTACTTGGATCGTCAAAGGCAGAAAATGCAACCAACTTCTTAGACTGAACTTTGGAGGTGTGAAAAATATCCCTTCAAATTTCTTTGAAAACTGACAGCAAGACTCCTGAAAAGAACGGAAGCTGGAATAAAGGTAAAGGTGGACACAGTCAATACTGAAAAATTAATGTAGTTAATTGTTGAGGCTTTTGTGTAATTTTTTGACACTGATAAATGAATAACTTGCACTTAAAAGCTGTTTTGACTGGAAATAAATAAAGAAATGAAGGGTGGTCTCTGACTTTTGCACAGTACTGCAAGTTGTCACTCAAGGTGCATTGAAGACACACGGAAATGGCAGATGTAAACGGCTATACATCTCTATCCAGATCTCTCAAGATACTAATTGCAGGTTTGAACAAGGCCTTAGATTCATCCTGTACCACTGGGTTGGTTTAAGGGTACATCTTTAGTACCTTTAGTTAGGGAACATAATTAAACCATATTCAACTTCAAAAACTTATTTAAGGTACACAGTTGGACCTTAATACCGTTGTTGGTCCTTTGAGGGTAAATGTACATTGTTTGTACCTTCACAGTACCTTTTTTCTGACAGTGTGCTTGTTTTTAAATGCATCTGTGAGTACAAGCACAACTGCTACACACAAAATCTTTAGCATTTATCCTGCCTCTTGTACACAGTGTCTGTTAATGGTGAAAATGTTTGAAGGTTAATGACTGATTAAGTAGAAAGAGGTGTGATATTGTTTCCTGTTTTGCTATAAATACTTAGGTAGCCTTTTGAACAGTCTTTATCTTGCTTTGCTCTTCATCCTTCCATCCTTAAGCACTGATCTTTTTTTAGTTATCACTTTTCAGCTTTCCAGCTTTTTTACCTCCTCAGTGTGGTAATGTGGTGGCTCTGAGAGAGACACCAGGTGACAGAAACACTCATCTTGACAGATTGTGTGCTTGGAAGCATCAGGGAGTTGTGTGTATGTGTGTAGGGACTTGTATCACTATTCTTGTGAGGACTAAATGTAACGCGTTCTCTAGTCCTCACGTTAACATACATTTATTTGTTTTTTGTGAATGAACAATTGTTGTTTATGTAGATTCAGTTTATGCAAATCATAGTGAAGATTAGTTGTTTTGTTACAGCATAATGCAAGTTAACACCTCACAGATGCAGTAGTACATGGTGTGTGTGTGTGTGTGTGGAGGGAGGTGTTAATGTGTTTCTGCTGACGTATGAATGTGATATGAGTGTGGATGTGTTTGATACATGTTTGCATATATGCAGTTGCAAATGAAACCCAGTGCACTGATAATTTGATGCATGTATGCATGGAAGGGCTTGGTCTGAAGCACAAGGTCGTCTTGTCCTTCGTCTCATCCCCTCTTCCCTCCTGTTCTTGTATCTTTTCGTGCTCTCACAGAAACAGCACAGTGCTGAACTCCAAGGTGATCTCTGTGACAATCAAGCCCACTCCCAGCTCCCTCTCGGCCCCAGTGGAGATCGAGTTCTCACACCTGTACAACGTGAGCCACGCTGACCTCTACACTCAGTTCACTTGATTATAGGGACAGAAAGTTGAATGAAATTAGCACATTTGTTCTTCTTTGAATAGATTTATTCCTGGTAGAGTGATACAGTCACATAATAGCACTACAATAATTTGAACTGTTGTAATTATTTGATGAAACAAAAACTGGAAACAAATAACTGGTGAAATAAATAATCCAAATATATGCTCTCAATGAACTGGCCTAGTAATTAGTTTGCAGCTTGAATGATAAACAAGGTATCATTATAAATCAGAGGTCATAATAGAGCCATGTTTAGCAGCTTCTCCACAAGGGAGAGCTACTAGCATTCAAATCACTTGCGTCACTGAAAGAGAGGAAACCCACACTTGCAGGATCTCGCAAGTGTTTCATGTATGAACTAAAATGAAATGTTAGCCATTACAAATTATGTATATAGAAAATAAAAGTATATATGAATTAAGCACATATGAAGTAAAAGGTTTTGTTTAACTAGTTCTATGCTGAAAAGCTCAGCAGATGCCTAAAAGACTAACAGGCTCCTTTTGTAACTGTAACATAAGCATGACACATGCTTGTGTAAAAAATGAATTATGACTGTTTGGGGTACAGTAGTCAGTTGGCTTGTTAAGAATATAACCAAATAAACTGAAAACTAAATAAATGAATAAATTAGGGCAGTGACGATTACTCAATTACTTTGCAGTGATTAGTTTGCAATTTGAATGTTCTCTAGGACTCAAATCACTTGTTTGAGAAACATTGAAAGTAGGGAACATCTTACCAGCAAGATCTCATGAATTGTTGTTACAGATTAAGTATGTGCAGCAAAAAGTGTATATGATGTAAAAGATTTTGGGTTTTGTTTAACTCGGTCTTATTTTGATGAATACTTGTTTAATCATCAAAATAACTGCTAGATTATTCTATTACTTATAGAACTAATAGTGACAGACAATAATAACAATAATAATAATAATAATAATAATAATAATAATAGTATGTTGCTGCTGCTGCTGCTGCTGCCGATGATGATGCAATAAAAGAACAGATCTTAGAACCCATTTTAATGATAAAAAGGACAAGAAAGTCTCTTATTTCAGGAATAAAACCTAAAGAAAGAAAAGAGCTGCATACTAAAATGACTTTCTTTGCCTAAATGTTTTGAAGGATCAACATGAAAGGCACTTTTTTATAGTTACTCCTGAGTACATTTCAAAACATCCCGTGCTAGATTACCTTTGTTTTTAGAACTTACTTCCAGAGTCAAACAGTCTGAAATGTACAAATTTGTAAGAACAGTGCAATAAGTGTAATATGTGTTTGTCTCTGGGTTGTGTAAGCACTGCATTTTGAAGCAGGTGCAGTCTGCCTTTGCTTTTTCTCTGTAGTCCAGTAAATAGAGCGTTACAGTAGGTAAGAGAAAGAAAACAAAAGCATGAGTCAGCTTCTTAACTTTCTAACACTTCTGAAGTGGAAGAGGGCCATCTTAATGACACTGTCAATTAAGTCTGAGCCAAGCATAACCACTCGATGCCTCACTGCAGGCTTAGCCTGACAAACCAGACTTTCTGCTGTGCTCAGCTTCTCTCTTATTTTATTCTGTTTTCATTTAATTTCCTCGGATTGATATTCATATTTAGGAACAACAAGGATTATTTATCATCATTATAATATTGCATGGACAGTAGGAGTAAGCAATATGACTATAATTCTTGATATTGTGATAAATTAAGTCCTATTATATCATTAGTCTTTTCTGAGCATATTATATGGATATTATCAGTACTTGAAAGACACTTATTGTATGTTTAATTTCAAAAAGAACACAATGTAGGATTTAATGCGGTGTGGTGTGTAAACCGTTGAAGAAAAATCATTATATTCATAGCTATTGATAGTATTTTTAAGGTTGGTTCTTTTTTCTATGTTTCAACTTATAAAACCTCAGAAAAACTAAGTATTCTAATGCATATTAAGAACATATCTTTAAGGATCATGATATTATATTTTATCATATCGCCCACGCCTAATGGACAGTTTACCTGACACTCTGTATAACAGAATAGAGTATAAAGCTACTGAGCTTTTGTAAATCTACCAAAATTGACCTCTTGATCACTGACTATATGGTCCAGCTGTATCATGTACCAGGAGAAAAAGAGAAGCTAAGAATGAGAGATTTAGCTTCTTAATGTGGTTCAGTGACAGGCTGTAATAGCATTTTCTCTCTCTTACAGGGCACAACCAACCAAACCTGCATTTCGTGGGATGAGAGTGACAGGTAAGAGGCTAGTTCCTATTGATTTGATCTCATGCACTCTTTTCTCTGTCTTAGCCCTGCCTGCTGTGAGGAACTAGTGCTCAAGCCAGGGCAGAGGGGGAGGGCCAGTCTCAGAGGACAGGAACACATTAGCACTGTGTCATAGCGGATGTGTTGAAATGTTACTGACGCGTAAATGTTAAAGACAGTGCAGAGCAAAGGGGGCCAAGCACCACGGACAGCTCCACAACTCCTGCACTGTAGAGCGCTGCATCTGTATGGATAGTGGGGGTGCAAACGTGTGTCAGTGCATTGAGATACATCACAAAGATTTCACAAAGCACTGAATCATTTACTAAAGAATCTGAATCAAGTCATGATTTGATCTGAATCAAATCTTGAATTGTTCTTAAGGAATCCAAATCTAATCAACTCGTGGTTAACAATGAGACTTCATGATGCGCTGAATCATTTCATAAATAATCATAATATTTAAATCTTGGAGAAATTTCAGATTTCATGGTGCACTGAGTCGTTCTTAAACAATCATAATTGAATCCACTGAACCAGGGAGAAATGTGAAATTTCATGAAGCACTGAATTATTTCCTAAAAAATCTGAATCTAATTGAATTGTGGTGAAATGTGACATTCCATGATTCACTGAATAGTTTCTTAAAGAATCAGAATTGAATTGATTTCTTGTAAGGCCTGATATTTACCCTTTATAGCCAGTGATCTAGTGAGGGGAACTTTACCCATTACAGATTATACTCACTGCCATCTTCCACCACTGCACATACAAGCAACCACAATGAAGACAGCGTGCCCTTCTTGTATGTGCAGAGGGAGAAAAAGAAAAAACGGAAGGGAAAGAAAGATGGAAGAAATGGCTGAGTGAGAGTAAGTGAGAGGGACTGACAAAGAAAATCAGGCAGATGGACGAATGGTGGGATCATTTGATGCAATTTTGCAGCCTGTGCAGCCCTGTCTCAGTCACGTTTTCACTTCCTCCCCCAACAGCATCCTCTTTGTATTTTTTCTGAGAAAAAGAGAGAGAGAGAGAGAAAGTCCAGCTATTTGCATTTAGATGGATAAGCACACCTTTTTCTACAGAAGCTAGATGTAAAATGCTTTCTACCTTGTTCCTAATGAAAAAAGAGTGGCAAAACAAAAGAAGTCCAAACAAGAGTGAACTTAGAGACAGTGACTGGTGAGAAGGAGCGAGTAATCAAGCAAGTGTGGAGAGAAAGGCCAGAGAAAGAGTAAGGGAGAGCTGTGAAAGGCTGAGAGACAGAGGAATGAAAACACTGAAATGTAATCTAGGTGTACATTGAGGAGAGGAGAAATGGGGGAGGGAACATGTTCGGTGCAAAATTAAAATCCATCTTGGACAGCTGCTATGATTAATGAGTTAATATTTGGGGAAGAAATTGGAATGTGAAGAGGCGTCCTTGTCACTGCGTGTTTTGTTGATAACAGCTTGAAGGAGTCTGGTCCTTGTGGTGCCTCACACTTCAATCTGCACAATCAATATGAGTGCCTACCACCAAGACAGCCATTTCACCACTTACACATACAGTGCACCACTACAGTGATTAACTCTTACCCAACGTCTCCCAGCAGACATATTCAGCTACTTTGCCGATGTCCCCTATACTGCTGTGTTTGCTATAAAGAAGCACAATGCTGCCTTACTGTTGGATGCACTGTGATAATTTCTAAGCGAGCAGTTGTGGACGTGGGATTTGCATCACTATGGAAATGCTTGTTGATTTGTTTCATCAGAGTAATAAAATAAATGCTGAAAATCATGTTATTAAAGGTGAACAGTAGATCAAAAGTTAGAAATAGACAGTTACAATCTGACTTCAAAGCGTTAAACCTTCCAACAGAAAGGCCTTTCTCTCATAACTATGTAACTTACATACAATAATGACTCTGCCAAAGTCACCCTTCATTTATCAAGCAAAACAGCCATTAAGTACAAATTTAAACAGTCATTAATGTTAAAATAAACAAGCTTTAAAAACTAAATACATCATTTTTGAGTACTTAGTGTGTCCACACTTTACCTTACAGCTTCCATTCTTTTCAGAAGACTTGCTTTCTGTTTTTCAAAGAAATCTGCAGGGATATTTTTCCACACCTCCAAAGTTCAGTCTCAAAAGTTGGTTGCATTTTCTGCTTCTCCTAATCCAAATAATCCCAAACATATTTAATGATGTTCAGGTCTGGACTCTGGGGTGGTCAGTCAGTTCTGAAAACAGCAGCAGCTTTTTTTGCTTCATTTCCAAATTTTCTTTTTTGTCTTTTTTTTTTATTTTCTCAGTAATGTCTTCTTGACAGCTACACATCCTTTAAGACTCATAGTGTTGAGTTGTCTTCTCACAGTGGAAGGATGGACAGAAACACCTGTGGATTTTCTCAGATCTGAATCAAGAGTGGAGCTTGATTTTTTTCCTCTCTCTCAAAGATGAAAGCTTTAAGTGCTGTTTGTCTGGTGGGGACAGTTTTGGTGGTCTACCAGGTCTTGCACTGATGTTAGGAATCCAAACTCTTTTTTTTCCAAAAACTTTTTTTCTCACATCTATTCCCCCAAGAAAATGAGTAACTTGTTCTTAATTGCTGTTTTGACTGGAAAGTAAGTAAATGAAGGGTGATGTCAGCTGTTTGCACAGTATTGAATTAGTCTCATAGTACTACAGAATAATTCATTGTAGTTACTGAATGCACTGGTCTGTAGTTTAAGGGGTTAAACATGCAAAATGTTGGTTTTGTATATTGAACTTTATTGTGTGCTGTAGTTTTGGCTTTTTTATGATGCTCTTTATTGTGGCTCGCTCTTTTCTCATGCATATGGACCTGGCATGTTTTCCACTGTAGATGTTTCTCTCTCTCTCTCTTTCTCTCTCTCTCTCTCTCACACACACACACACATGCATGCATCACACACACCACTGGACCGTATGCCCAGTGATCCAATTACACAGCAGTGCTTTGCCGCCTGTAAATGTGTGTGGTCGACAGAGAGGCCTAATCGTATCATCCACACACACTCTGCAGGGGGTGATAATATATTGGATTTCAGAGAGGATGCTGTTAACATTCAGCTTTCCCCTGGAGCTACACGCATGGCTTTCCTTGTCACTCCATTCACCCCTGGGCGCTCTCTCAGCTCCACTGCACTGTGGGTAACCCGGGCTCAGGTTTTGCAGTGCCCCAGTGCACTATGGGTAACCCTGCTTGGAGCTGCGAGGCATCTCTGGGACCCTGCTGCCTATACAGGACATTGTATTTGTAGTGGTTTGCTAGACTACAGTGTAAAATGTACGTTAGGCTTTTAATTAACATGATCTCGGTGCTTGTACTGACGGGGAAAACACTATTCATAATAACGTCTTTGTTGATTAAGAGCCCTGACTCTTAAGTACGCTTTCAATCAAGATGATAGCATTCGAGAGTGTAGGTAGAACGGAGGAGTAGTGTTAATGACTTTTGGTCCCAGCTAATTGGACGTGAACCCACTGGCATACGAGATATTATAGCTGTTTATTATTTGGGTAAGGACTAGTGGAGCTGTTATCTTCAATCTGTCGCTGAAGCCCAAGGCCAGTTAAGTTAACTTGGCGCACCAAGTTGGGGGCTATTTTCGCTTGGCACAAACACTGTGGTATAATACAGATGGACACTAGCTGTCCATCTGGAACTCCCTTCTTGTCCTTAATCTAGGGATTTTACTCGTAATGGCCCTGTTAATTAACAGTTCAAGCAGAATATTATGAACAGTATTGAATGTAAAGGCAAGGAAATTACCTAAATGAAAAGAATGTATATCTTAAAGGCGAATAACACTGATTTCACAATTTTTCTACCTAATTTAATAATTGATTCGGTCATTCAGAGTGGTTTGATGTGAAAAAGTGCATCGTAGAGAATAAACCCAAAGACTCTTATTTCTTTACAGTGGTGGTGATAGGAACCAGGGGTCACTATGTCTAGAACACAAATATAGCCATTTTATTCACTATCCAAGATGATAAGTGAATCTACACGTGTCCTCTGTGTTTTATATGTAATGTTAATGATGGACAATAGTGGTAAATCTGAAATAATACGTTTTTTTGGGGGGACTGTTTTGCCTTATTACACTCTTCATATACCTCTTTACCAAAAATGGCTTTTATAAATATGTTTTAGGCCAAAACTTGCATAAAATAATGTCTTAAGCACAATACAATATATTTGTTATTATTTCATGTAATAATTTCCTGTGAGGGAGCTTTTAGAGGCATTAAAAACTTCAGACATCTGGTTCTAGCACCACCGCTGATAACAATTATGACTCAGTATGTTTTCCTATAATGGAGCATTTCACATCAAACCACTCTGAATGACTTTGTTTACATCTCTTACAACTATTAACTTACGCAATTTGGAAAAAAAATGGTGGAATTTCCTGTTAAGATCAACTTTTCTTGTCCCAGGAGAAATAAATCAGTTCTCAATACTGTATTAACGACCCAGGGAACCCAAATCTTTATCTTTCAAATTAGGTTAATCTTGTTCTTGCAGACAGGCAGCATGTATGTCTAAAGGTGTCCTAAATACACCCTTTGAATAAAGGACCAATAAATGACTGATGTATTTCATATTTCTCTTCTCTAGCTGTAAACTGGACGGTCCGAATCTTGGGTAATGCTTCTGTAAGCATTCCCCTGACCAATCACAAAGCTGACATCTCTTACCCTGCCCAGACACTTTCAGAGTTAGAGAAACATAGCGAGCTGAAGCTAACCCAGCATATCTAAAAGCTAGGAAGCTACACCACCTTTGTAGCTGCCTGTTGCCTGTTCATTTGTTTATACATACACCAACATTGTCTGTTTGTCCGTTCCTTCATTCAAGTGTTGCTTCACCTGTCCGTTTATACATCCATCTGTCCATCTGTGCATCTGTTCGTCTGTGACTTTTTTGGTCTGGTTACTGTCAAACAAAGCTGGATAATGATCTTAGTTCTGTATGAGTGAGACAATATTTAGATCAAGGTGACAAAGTCCAGGAGGTGTTCCACAGCTGCAGAGTTTCAGAAATGGAAGAAAGTTGGTTACGCTTTAGGCTGATTTTTAACAGGACTTAACCATGTCTGGGAGTAAGCAGAACAGATTAAGACAATATCTAAGTATTTAAGTATTTAGAGCTATTTAGAGCAGCAGAATTAAAAAAAGAATGTGCAAAGATCTCAGGCACCATTTAGCAGGACAATAACTGTGTTTTAGCCACTTTATCACCTTTTTAACATTAGAATAAATGCAAACCTTAATGCTGTAAAGTAGTTGCCATCTTGTGAGCTGTTTAGAGGAACGTAAGTTTTCTTCCACTGCCCAGCAGCCATCATACATTTCCATCAGCAGCACACCTGATTTAGGAAGCTAGGCATTGAATGATAACTACAAATAATACTCAGCTGCTACAAGGAAAGGTTTGGAAATGGCTAAAACACTGATGAACATAAAAACACCACTTGTCAAATTAAAAATTTGCTTTTATTCAATTCGTGTTTTGCTTAGAAAAAATGCTTACTGTCCAGATAAACAGACAGTTTAAACTTCCTCACATGCTTAAACTTTTGCACAATACTTGCACAGTATGAGAAGCACTATTTCTCGTGTTAATATTATTTGTATTTTTTCTATGTGTATAGTTAGCAAAAAATAATTTAATAAATAAATTAAATAATGCATGCTTGTTGTCCAAATAATTTTTGATATGTTTAAATATATTTTTTTATTATTATTTTTTTACATAACTAAACTTTTGCACTGTACTGTGTATTGCTGTTTTTTTTTCACAGAGTACCAACTTTTACGCTTCAGATATTTTATATATATATATATATATATATATATCATTTTCTCACGTGTCTATATATATAAAAGTACCATTTATTACGCTTCGGCTAATTAGCGGCAGCAGCGGTGTTAGCAGCAGTACTAGTAGTTGTAATAAGTAGCATTAGCAGCAGCGGTAATAGTACCAGGCCAACGCTCGCGTATTCCGTCTTACGCTCTTTCTTTTTTTCTCTCCCGGCTTATTTTCTTCGCTTCTGCTCTCTCCCGTAGCTAACCCGGCCGTGCAGAAAGCAGAAGCGTGCACCGCTTCGCGTCCTCGCTGCGTCTCCGTGTTCACTGCGCTGAGCGACGCTCCGGCTAGCAGAGCGTGCGGAGCGCGTGGATCGGATTAGGAAAAAAGGAAAGGAAAAGCACGCGCGCGCACCAGCTCCAGCGGCAGCAGCAGTATCAGCACAGGGGGATTTGATCTTGCCTGTTTTTCAGTGCATGTGATTCACCGCAGCGCTTTTTTTCTCTCTCTCTCTCTTTCTTTCTCTCTCTCTCGCTCTCTCGCGGCTGCAGCTCGTCTCTGCTGGGCTCGTGGTCTGGCCGCGCCTGCAGAGCCGTGCCCATCGACTCGTCCAGGACCAGATGTGTGTGTGACAGACTGTCCACCTTCGCCATTTTAGCGCGCCTCAGCCTCGACGCGGTAAGTACACGCTCCTCTCTCGCCTGCTTTCACACTGCTGGGGGGGCAGCGGAGGGGGGTGGGGGTTACAAACGAGACGTTTTTGGCTGTGATTTGAATGTCTGCTGTTTCTCTCTTTCTTTTTTCCTTTTTCTTTTTTTTTTCAAAGCCGTGCACTATAGGCGTCGTTGTCATTCCGTATCAACAGATCCCTCTATCTCTCCCCCTCCCCCTCCCCCTCTTCCTCCTCCTCCACCTCTTCTTCTCCCCCCATCGCGACATGCCAGGCTCATAAAGAGCACCCCTCCACTTTGATGGGGACGGATTTTGGCATATAATTCTGTAACATACACGCCACAGAAAGTGACGTCAGCGGCTGCTTTTGATGCACAGGCCGTGCACATGCATTTGATTTGCATGCATTAAGTGCTGAGCTGGAAAAGATAATGAGGGGTGATTCTGTGATTTTGGCAGCCTAATAATTTGTGCTACACCTGCATTGTATATGGTGCAGATCTCTCATTTTGTTCTGCGGGCTGTTGCTCTTGTATCAGAGAAGGACACATTTCTGCTGGTTCCTTTATGAGATGTGTAAAAAAAAAATCAACTATCCGATGCACTTCATCATGGCCTTGGATTGACAGCCTTGCATAAATGTCCAGTAGGCATATGCGTGGATCTTCACTGAAAGAGTCGACCATGTTTCAGTTTTGATGGGGAGACAGGGCAGTGTCTTTGTGTGGCTTTTTCAGTCAATGCGATTAGTTATTATTAGACTGGAAACTGCCTCTGAAGCAGTTTGTTCACTAGTTGCCCTGGTAACAGCACTGGGCAGCGGAGGCTCTTAAAGCTATAGAAGGCCCCATAACGTTGCCTTTGTGCTGCTTGGCCCAGATCCCCAGTAGGCCGCAGAGCCCCAGCAAGGGAAGAAAACCTACTGAAACACCCAGCCACCCCACCCTGCAAACGCTTACAATAAGGGCCCTGCGATTCAGACAGCCAGGATGTTTTTGATTTGTCAGATGTTCGGTTGTCATTGTTGGAGCTTTAAAAGTGTTTTGTTCTTTCTTTTCTGTGTTGTAGCACTGAAAAGGAGGCCTTGGCCTGGGCCTCAGCTGGTCTTCCTGCATAAATCACCGGAAATCTTTAGACTGAGCTCTTCAGCACTCTGGTCTTGGGGTGCAGAATGTGGGCACCAGCTTGGCTTTCGGAAAACAGAAGTGTTTGATGTTCCTAGCTCCATCCCCGAGCACAGATTGCTCAGTGTGCGAGGACAAGCTGGTCTTGGGCTGTGCTTTAGATTTAGAGTCCACACACTGAGGCAAGAATGCCTTTCAAATCTGTGCTGGGCAATGCTGGTTGCTTTGTGTGTCTCAGAGAGCCCCGCTGTGGGATTCTGTTTTTGTATCTCAGATTTGCATTTAGATTCTTCCCTCGCTTTGCCATGGCCTGTACAGTAGCGCTGTGCTAATCTCGCTCCACATGCAATGTCTGCCTGGCCCTGGAAGGCGCTCACCGCCCCCCTCCTCCATGTGTCTAGCCCTATACCTGGGCAGATGGCAGCAGACTCGGGGAGTGTCGCAGTTAGCTCGTTACGTTCCTCGTGGGAAGCATATTGGGGCGATTTGATTGGTGGTGGCGCGTGCCAGCCAAGAAGCTCGCTCCTCCTTCTCCTCTCTGGCTCTCTGTCCAGACCCCCGCTGCTACGCTGCTAATTATTCCTGACACTACACTTGCCACCTTCTGAATGGCCCATCCGACAGCTCCTCTGTCTGCAACTAGCCTCCTACAGCTTTGGAATGATAAAGAGCCAGAGAAACTGGCCATAGCCTCCCTTTCTGCCTTCTCGCACTCTTATTCTCTCTGACTTTCTCTCATTCTCTGTCTCTGCTCTTATTCCCACATTTTCTCTCAGTAATGAGTATACAGAGACAGTCTATACTGCAGCCATTTTATCCAGCCTTACTCTGTAAGCAGTGGCCTATGTTTGTGTTAAAGACAGTGCATACTAATACATTCTAATACATTCTAATACTAATACAGTCTTATTGCCCTGAGATTTTGTGTTTTAAGCTCCTGTCTCTATGGTTACACTTGTAAGCTGTTGGTAAAGGCACTGAGATTGCATGAGCGTCAACAGAAAGGATGTGGTCAAGGCTGAGGACCAGATGTGTGTATGTATTTGAGAAGATGCAGTGTAGAATGGGCCTTAATGCAGCTACAGTGCATCTGAAATTAGAGTTACATTAACCAAGGCTAATCATAGCTAATCATGGAGACTGTGCGCAAGAATGCCTACTGTTTGCACTACTTAGCTCTGAAGTCATGCATCATTTTGTTGTTGGTGGCATGTCCAAATAAGGAACTCCAGGCCTGATCAGTTTTTCTCTATGGAATAAATGAGTGTTGTTTTCACAAACTGTCTCAAGCGTAACATGTAGTGAATAAAAATGGTTTAAACCAGATACATTATGTCAAAATATAGCCCCAAATGTCACTGAATCCTCTCAATTACAAATTACATACACTGACCTGCCACTTCATTAAACACACCTCATGCCTACACTTTGTTTATTTTATCAGCTCTACTTGCCAAACAAGTGCACTTTGTAGTTCCATAATTACAGACTGTAGTTCATCTATTTCTCTGCATACTTTGTTAGCCCCAACCCCAATAGCACCACCACAGAACAGGCATTATTTGGGTGGTGGATCATTCTCAGCACTGCAGTGACACTGATGTTGTGGTGGCATGTTAGTGTGTGTTGCGCTGGTGTGAGTGGATCAGACACAGCAGTGCTGCCAGAGTTTTTAAACACTGTGTCCACTCACTGTCCATTCTATTAGACACTTCTACCTTGTTGGTCCACCTTGTAGATGTAAAGTCAGAGACGATAGCTCATCTGTTGCTGCACAGTTTGTGTTGGTCATCCTCTAGTCCTTCATCAGTGGTCAGAGGACGCTGCCCACAGGACGCTGTTGGCTGGATATTTTTGGTTGATGGACTATTCTCAGTCCAGCAGCAACACTGAGGTGTTTAAACACTCCAGCAGCACTGCTGTGTCTGATCCACTCAGACCAGCACAACACACACTAACACACCACCACCACATCAGTGTCACTACAGTGCTGAGAATGATCCACCACCCAAATAGTACCTGCTCTGTGGTGGTCCTGATAATTAAAGAACAGGGGGAAGGGGGCTAACAAAGTATGCAGAGAAACAGACGAAGTACAGTCTGTAACTGTAGAACTACAAATTGCACCTATATGGTGAGTGGATATGATAACATGGACAAAGAGTGTAGAAACAAGGAGGTGTGGTTAATGAAGTGGCTGGTTGGTGTACACACTACGAGCATGCTAACAGTCCTCTGCATCGACAGTGAGTATACAGTTAGCAACTTTAGTGTTATTATATAACAACGCTATTTGTAGGCTACAAGTGCCAAAGCAACGGAACCACCACATTTGACAAAGCTTGCTGGTATACGTGGGGTATTTTGGTTAGGTTTCCAGTGCTATGATTTGGGAATGCATCATATGTGTATATAAACATGTGTATATATATGTGTATAGCATACTCGGCATGCATCGCCTGAACATTTCAACATTCTGATCTTCCAAAATATGTCATCAAATATTGGTTTAAAATGTTGCTTAAATCTAAACATCTGTCCAATTTGGATTTTTTAGGTAAAAATCTGCCAGTACTGATATGATTCTAGTATCAGTGCACATCCCTGGTTGTGATGTCAGTTAAGTGTGCCATAGTGTTAGCTTGCATGCAGCATGACTTATTTTGATTCTTTACAGATTGTCTGTGTTAGAGGATCCAAGGGAAAACATATGGCAAAATGTAGTTTGGAACATGTATTGTGAGCGAATATTAAGGCCATATCCAAACATACATAATGCACTGTACATTCTCACAGACGTGCTTCTGGTTAGTGTTGTTCTGTTGGTAAATATTCTTTCAGCATGTGCTGAGGTTGTGCCTCCATGTAGCTCGTTGAACTGTTAATATTGTTAAAGGAAGTCTCCCAGTAACATGATTTGGAGACACTACTACTAATTTTTGCCTGACTTTAAATTCACTCAAAACTAGTCACCACTAGTTGTCCAGACTTTGGTCTGCCTTCAAATGCATAAGTATGAGGCAGAGTAATATCTTGTATTTTCTCATGTGAACCATATATTGTGCATTAAGACTCCTATTTGTGCTGAAATAAAAGCTCAAAAGGCTTAGTACCTCTAGCCTTGCGAATAATAATTCAGTTTTTAAACATCATCCTATTTTAATGTAGCTCATTAGAATTATCTAACAGTATCAGAGTTTTCTATTTTTGTCAGTAGAAGTATCTAAAACTGGTTCAAAACATTGAACACTGTACACTGAAAACCTTTACATTGAGTTGCATAATATGAAATCACTGCGCAGAAGGGATAGCTTTGAGTCCTGAAATATTCTTGGCTATATTACCAGAATAGCTGTAATTATTCATTAACTGAAACAGAACAATCGATTATTATTCTCCGCCAATTCAACTGGATTGACCCGCTAAAACACTACAGCACTGAATTTCCCTGAATTGATTAGAAACTGTTTAGTTTAGTTGCTTTTCTGTCAGTTTAACATTATCACACTCATTCTATACTGTGATTGAACCCACGTTGGAAGCTGTTGTAAAGCACACCAGACAAACACTCTTAAAAAGATGGTTCTTCAAGAAGAAAAAGGTTCTATGAAGAACCATGAACACTTAAAGAACCCTTTGAATGATTCAAGAGTTCTTTGTGTTATGAAATTGTTCTTCAGATTGATGGGGCAATGTGCTGTAGATGGTTCAAAATAGCACCCAAAAGGGTTTTTCTATCGTTACTAGCTTGACATTGTAACAGTAGAAGAACCCTTTTGGGTGCTATATTGAACCCTTTTCAAAAAGGTTATATAAGCATAATAATAATATAGAAGCATCTATAACACATTCTGAAGAACCCTTTCATAATGCAAAGAAGCC